AGGTGCTTATTCACTCTTTCAGCCCTGTACATACTGTTGCTTTAACACAGGGGTGGGCAAAATATGGCCTGGGGCCAGATCTGACCCACCAGGCCATTCTATCTGGCCTGTGGGGCCCTTAAAAAATTTAGAAAATGTAATATTTATTTGCTCCTAGCTGCTTGTCAAAGATGACATGAGACAGGGGCAGTAGGACCCAGAGGAAGCTGGTAGCAGGACCCAGAGGCAAGGCCCACCCAGCCCTGCTCCCCCAACCAAAAAGCCCCTGCCTAGCAGAGGCTTCTGGCCTGGGACCGTAGGGCTGTTCCTGCTTCCCTGCACTGGAGAGGGAAATGTGGCCCTTGACAGCTTGCCAAAACTTGGTAAGTGACCCTCCACCCAAAATAATTGCCCGCCCCTGCTTTAACACCATGTAAAGATGAGCCCTAAAGCAAGCACCTCAACTTTTGAAAGGGTTGAAAATCCAGACCCCAACCTGAATCCCAAATTTATGAGGAAGGCTTGTGTGTGTGAGGTTTCACTTGGAAACTGGGATGCATCCTTTTCTCTATTTCTAAAAATGTTATTTTTCTCTTGTGGATTTTAAAAAAAGTTTTTAATAGAAAAGACTGCAACCTAATTGCTAGAAGGCATCTGGAGCACTCCTGTGCTGAGGAAAATGAACCTAAGAAAACAGTTGTCTTTCTCCTGATCTCTTTTAACAACATTGCAGATAGAAAACAGCTTGAAGCTGACACTGTAAGAAATAAGATTTCCTATTGACAATCCCTTTCTAACAGCTCTGTGATGAACAGTGATGCAGCCTTCCATGGTGGTAAGTTTCAGAAGATGAGTTAAACACAGAAGATAATGGAAAGGATTTTGGTTTGTCAGTTCTTAGCTCCTGCTGTCACAGGATATGAGTTGCATGGGATGTACTTGCCTGATCCTGAAAGGTGATAGCTTGATCAGTATATTAGGGGAAGGGGAAGTAGGGGCGAGGAGGGGAAACTCCTTTCAATTTGTGGTTAGTGTTGGTGCATGTTTACTTTGAAACTTGCTGCTGGTGTCCAGGTAAACTGAGGCTTATTTTGTTCACTGTCTTTCTTCCTGTCTGTCTGTCTTCTCTGTCTCTGTTCTGGACTTGGCCGGGCCATGTACAAATCCCAACCATTCAACAGTACTGGAGAGTAGATAGTATTTACCTCAATAATGGTAGTTTCTTTTCGGTTCTTTTTAACTCTCAATTCAGATGATGGTTTGAAGCCAACACCCACCATGGAGACCCAGCCTGTTTTTGACGGGGAAGGTAAGAGCCTCCTCTTTTTAAGAAAAACTTTTCTCTCTCTTGCTCACACATTTATTATCTAAACACATTTTTTTATCCCACAAGTAGAAAAGCCCCCAAATCTTGTAAGTCATCTGCGTTTCAGAGTGCCCTTGGGACATGAGGCACTTTTCCAAATCCTTTCACGTCCTCCCTTCTTCCCTAGTTTCCAACAATAACACCAGTTGGACAGAGCCTTTGGGTAACCTTGGAGAAAAAGGTGTCATGGCTAAAAAATGCTCATTGAGTCAGAAACGTCCGCTTCCTTTCTTCCATCCTTACCCCTGTTGCGTTCTCCACCCCCATGACACTGATGCTGGGAGTTTCATAACTTTTGCAAAACACCAAGGGGAAGAAAATGCTAAACCACGGCCTGCAAATGTTAACTGGGAGGAAAAATGTTGGAAGGCTTCTTTATTTACTGCTTTCTTTTAGTGACGCATATACCATTAAGCAAATTAAGTCAGTGTCCTGGGCTCACCTAATCCTGGGCCCACCAAGGCAGTTTCCTCTCTCAGATGTGTTAATCCAAGGATTTCCACCCCTCTCCACCCTCCTCAATATGCTGTTGTCTCTCAATCTACTGGACTCTTTGAATTAAAGCAAAGCTTCCAAAATCAGTTAAAACTAGATTTGGGCTGAAACCTGAACCCCTTATAATAACCATTTTGAATGCCATTGCTGGGTAGAGAGAGCTTCAGACTTTAACACTGTCTCTAGGATTGTAAGACTGGTTCAAAGCCAAAAATGGATGGGACCTTGCAGGAGTAGATGGTGCTGCTGGTAGCTCTTCTCTTCTCACACAAATAGATGATTGTGACAATTCTGTATGAGAAAAAATAAGCTTACTTAGTGGCAAACAGTTACAGTCCCATCACTTCCACTCAGTGAATCTAAGTTTTATAACATATATATTATTTCATATATAAAATTATATGAAAATAGATATAATATCTCAAAACCAACTTTAAAAAAAAATCAGAAAACTGTACCTGGGGCAAACTGTTGCATTCCCACATAAATAAACAGAGGCTCAAATCTAGTGGTCTATCTAATGCTTAGATAAATATTGTGCCTTCTGGCAGCCTTTTGGCAACACTCTGTATTGTATTAAATTGCTGTTTGTAATAACAGTGTTTATCCCCTTTCACTTTTCCCCAAGGTGGTGATTATGGATATCCAAGGGGAGGAATGCACTGCGGGGAAAAACAGACTAACTATGGGGAATAATTTCCAGACAGATAGCTTTGCTAGTCTGTGCATACCTTGTCAGGAGCTTCTTTGGGGCAGTGATGGAAAGTACCAACATTTGGGACAATTGGACATAACTGGACAAAACACTTAGAGGACACACTGCAGAGATCAGGCCTGCCCTTATTCCCCAGGGCATACCTAGAGTCTAAAAGGTCTTGGCTACCTCTCACTTCTACACAAGACATGTAAAACACCAAACCTTTCTGTTTTTGTGAAGATTTTATAATCCTGCACTGACATAGGAGAGAAGACCAAGGCTAGAAAAGGCCTGCATTGCATCCTGAGACCATGCACCTTCATTGCTTATCTTGCTTATTACTTCTATTTCTTTCCCTGAATCTGAAAATATATTATTTGATCGATTTGTTTTCCTTTTCTCCATGCAGCACTCCTGGCAGGAATAACCAGTTCTGACTTCTATTAACAATAGCATTGTCTTGTGTGGCTCAATAGAGAAGACAACATGGGGTAGGAAGCCAGGTGTCCATTTCTTAATTAGGATCTGACACCGAAACACTGTAAATTCAGATAAGGTTGCTTGGTTTCTTTGCTCCTGTTTTCCCCTAGAGGTACAATTGGATAACTAGACGTAGCTATGACTGGGATTCTCAAAGGTGAATGTGTGTGTTAAATGCCCAAACCCTGGCAAATATTGGTAGGATTTAGAGGATCAGTTCCTCTAGACTCTTCTGACAGTTACAGCCCCTTATTAGTACACAATCAGTAAATGATTCTGTTTGAGATTCCATTTATGGTTGTGCCAGTGCCATGAAAGGTCAGGGGCTGCAAAGGTGTCCTACCAACTGTTCTGTCTTTTTTCCTTAAGTTTACTTTATATATTGGATGCACTTGATGCAAGGAGGTGTCCTACCAAAGGTTTAATTTGGAGGCTGTTTACTTTATATATTGGATGCACTTGATGCATAGGTGTCCTACCAAAGGTTTAATTTGAAGGCTATGGAGTCGGTGGGGTAGAATGGCCCATCTTTACTAATGGGGAGATGTGTACAAGAATGGGGCTAGAGGAATGCCAGGTAAAGTTGTTTCATAAGGAGGCCAAGATTGTGAGGATGTTCATTTTAGATACCTTGACTTTTGAGTATGCAATGTCAGGCAGCAAGGGTCCAAATGCCCACAACTGCATTTGAAGTCAGTAATAGCTGTGGAAGCTGAGCACCTCTGCATATGAGACAATTTGCTTTCTTCGATGGCTCACCCACAGTTAGGTTCAAATTTTGGGGTAACTACTGTGTTCACTCCCTAATGCACAACACAGGGTGTCCAGAGCCAGGAAAAACAATTCGATTGATTGACTTCCTGTCTTGCATTTTAATGATTAAAATGTGCATGTATACACACATGCATGCACACACACACATTTTCCTCTGAATTCCTTTGCTCCATTTTCGTGCACAAGTTTCAATTCCCTTTATAGTGAATCCCACTTCAGCTGAGGTCAGGTTGTGAAGAATACCATTTTATTTATTTCACTACACGAAGGTCCCTCTGTGTCTTTAAGGTTTTTATTTTTTAGTTAAAATAGCTATTTATTCTCCCTCCGACACACACGCACACTTTTGGGCTCTATTATTTTTGGAAATCTGCTATATTTTATTTTAATGTATAAGCCACATTCATTCCTGAAAACAATGTGTTCTTTAAGCAGCTTATCTTTCTGTTGCACTTCACCTCCCTTTGCACTAGGAATCTGCTTTTTCCAGGAGTCTGATCTGGTGGGAGGAGAAAGCAATTTAAAAATTGCTTCACTGTTTCTGCTTGTATCCAGGTTAACAGAATGGAAAATGCATTTGCATGACAGATCCCTTCAGATATATCCTTCCCCACTGCTCCTTCTTCCTTATCTTCCTCTCCCACACCCGGTCTTTTTTATGCCCCTCAACCTCCTTGCATTCAAGAAATACAGTAATGTCCCTTGAGCCTAGTCCTTGCATGGACATCCACTTCCTATCACATTGCATCACCTAGGATGCAAAACTTAGAACCAAGGTAAAAATTGTACCTTAAATTTGGGGCTTTTGGAGCTCTTTTCCTCCATCACCCCCAGCTTTATTTAATATGTAAGCCCTGATCCTCTCCAACTGAAGCAGCGGGAGTTTTCTTGTTGATTTGTCTGTGGGTATAGAAATGTCATGATTAAAGCAGCAGGAATAATAATACAGTGATATCTAGATAAGAGTGATAGTTAGCCATGTTAGTCTAAAGTCAGAAATTACTATGTAAGAGACTGTATTAAAGCAACCTCTTACCTAAATTGGGATACCATTAATATTGCCATATGAAAAATTCTCATTTTAGTATCCTATAGGAACACTATAGGTGAAAGATATTATCAAGGAATAGCATTTCTTCCTCTTGTTCTGTCTTTTTCCTTAAGTTTACTTTATATATTGGATGCACTTTGAATGTAGTCATTTTCTCTGGTGTAGTCAAATTCTACTTTGCTGAACAGACCTTTATAAGTTTCAACAAGTTGAGCAGAAAGATCTTTGAAAATATGTATTTTTAAAGTGTTTAAATAATCAGGAACTAGCATTTAAAGTCGGTTCCAGTGAACACTGGAAAAAATTGTTTTAAAATATTCAAGTTGCCCATGTCTGTCTGACGGATTATTTCAGGTGCCTCTCTACTTGATCTTTATTATAACATATTGGTTGAACAACCGTTCAATGTCATTCCTTTGAGGGATTAAGGCAGGTTTTAGTGTTTTGAACTTCAGAGGTATTACATGCTTCATCCAAGGTTCTCAATGCACTTTGTAAAATGCATTTATCTGTAGTGAATTGCATGCATGTTCTTTAACCAGACATGTTTCTTTAAATGCCTTCTTTTAAGTGTTGCCAGCAGTGCTCTGCACTTCTCTATTTTTGTTTTTTTAATACGGACCTAATATGAGGAAGTGGGTGGTCAGCTGCTCTTTGGCTTCTAGGATAATATTTGGATTCCTGATTTGAATGATTTTTGCTGGATTTTTTTTCTATCCCTTGATGGAAAGCATGATGTGCTACAATACTCAACACGGTCTCTACCTTTTCCAAGTCAGGTTTGAAAGATACTAGGCAGGATAATGTTAGCTGTATGAACAAAGAAGAGAGAAGAAAAAAAGCCCACATACTTTATGTAGATGGACTACCTGGAAAGAAAAAATGGAGCATATGTGTGTGTGTGGTGGGAGATAAAGGTCCATATTGCAGAAAAGAAATACTACGGAACCCTTGAGGACAATCCAAGTCCCAAGAAACAGGATGTTTCAACCTGAGACAACTCTTCCTCCATGATGTTGCTGCCTCCACTGGTGGCTTCTTTTTTACGGTGTTTCTTTTCTGTCTTTCAGAAATCACAGCTCCCACACTTTGGATTAAGCACTTGGTCATTAAAGATTCCAAACTGAATAGCTCCAGCATGAGAAACTCAGGTAATGCTTGCTTTAAAAACATTTGGAATGTAACTAAAGAGTGATTCCTTATTTCACAGTATTTTTCACTTTGTGCATGCTTAACTCCAATAGCAGTGCTGCTTTGTCACAACATTGCAGAG